ATAATAATAATAATAATAATAATAATAATAATAATAATAATAATAATAATAATAATACAGAAAACCAAACCCTGCCAAACTCAAGAGCACTAATTATAATACTGTAAACTGCCTAAGGACATACATTAAAATTAAGATGGAAGTAAGTATTATACAAGCTGAAAAATTTCACATTAAGAAACTGCAAGTAGATTATTTTTCCTCTTATATAACCATTTTTTCAAGTTAATGAAACAGTTATTTCTGTTAAATAATCATAACTAATGCTTATAAAAATTGCATAGTGTCCCTGATGACATTAAGACAAGAGGCTGATTAGAGGAAAAATAAAACTAGTCAAGTAACTTTGTTACCAGAATCTGGTAGAAGAAAAAAATCATGGTACTTCCATAAAAATTTTTGTAAGTCAATACGATGTTCTTCATCTGGAAGACAGGAGGTGCTATTACGGTTTTGTGAATTCCGGATGCCTCTTTGACTATATGACTGCAAACCTATAAGCAGGTGTCAACACCAGCTAGTGCCCACTCACATTCCAGCTCTAGGCTGGTTGGGTTTGCTCTCCAAGGGACAGATCCACTGCTATTTAAATTGATGGAGCTTGATTTGCATCCATGGGAGCTTGAGGAGTCCCTCCTTGCTGGGAGAAAGCAAGGTCACTCCTGCTGCAGCATGTCACTGATTTATACCAAACACTACCTTGTTCCCAGGTGGGCAGATGCATTGGGTGCATCTTTTCAAAGCAGGTGCTCCCTAGCAAGGACACCCCTCAGCCCTGGTGGTGGGAAGCAGCAAGTGCCCCCGGCCTGAGGGGCTGGCAGAGCCACGGCAGGCCCTCACAAGCCCACCCACTCTTTATGAGGTTAGAGAGGAAAAAGCAAAGGATGCGCTGGGGAAAACTGGGCAAAAGTGAAAGTCCAGGGATGGGATTTACTCTTAAGAGCACTTGGCCCTGCTGCTGATTGTACTTGCACCCTGGGAGGACAGTTTTTTTCTTCCAAAGAATTACTGTCCAAGTGCAAATAAGAACAGAATCCAGCTCCTTCCTATCTGGTTCTCCCACCTCCAAGCAGAGGCCTGCAGGGTGATGCTGGTTACATTTAACCCTTACAGGTATGGGGTGATCTGTTTACAATGCTGAGTTAGATTTTCTGTGATGCCACCATGGGGGCTGACTGGGCAGTGTCACACAAAGGCAGAAATCTCCCCCTGACCCAGAGCACACAGGGTTTTGAAGAGTTTCACAAGTTTTAGACATGCTTTGTGAATCTGTCCTGGTATATCTGTGATACAGCACATATATAAGTGCATTCTGGAGGTATGGTGTCAAGAGTCCTCTGCTAACTTCTGTCTCCCACCAATCTGTTTCTCACAGCTACATGATTTAGGGAACCCAGACCTGCCAGTCTTTGGGAAACCATGAAAATGCACTTAGCTGGTCTAAATATGACACATAAGAGTGTCTTATTTTCTCTTCCCCCTGGGTTGTATCCTTTCACTCTGAGAAATCTTATCTGAGTGACCACTCTTCAGATACACAAGATGTATTATTATTTTACTATCCCATGCTGAAGGCTGAGGAGAGAGGACCAGAGGCTTCTCCACCACTTTTCCCTCCCTGGCAGCCAGAAAAAGCGTAAGTCAGAAGGTGGCCTGAGAGAGTGAGGCCCAGCTGGGAAGCTGGACTCATCCCCCTTTTCCATGTGTTTCTAGGGTCAGAGCTGTGTGGAGGAGCACCCTACTTCTGTAGAGAAGCACCACTGGGTCTCTGGCTTTGAATTCTCTGTGGGTTTGCTGGGATCAGACCTCCTTTACCAGGTATGGCCTGACCCTGGCCACAACCGTGTCCAACAGCCTGGGAGTGCCCTGTGCCCTCTGGCTGTCCTGGATGGGATACTCTGACAACCCTGCCAGACAGACGACATGGCTTCCTCTGAGGAGAGGCACCAGGAGCCCACCCCAGAGTGGGGCTGGCACCAGGCACAGCTGGCCAGGAGTCAGGCAGTTGTGGCCTGGTGGTGTGATCCATGGGGCATTAGTCCTCCAGCCACCCATTTGCATCCCAGCAAACCTCACTACAATGTTGGGCACGGTTCTGGTGTGGGAGGCATAGAGCCGTTTAAAAGGCTAAGATGGGAGCCCCTGGAGGCTAGCTGTCTGGGACACAGCCAGGTCTGAGGTGGAGTGCTTCCCGTGGGCACCCTCCCCTTCCCTGGGAGAAGCAGCAGTTCCACCCAGGAGATCAAGATCAGGTTTCAGCTATGTTTGAGGCTATTTCCTGCAGCTGTTGCTGTGCCCTCCATCCCAACAGTCCCAAAGCCTCCCTTGATGGCCAGGTGCCTGTATCACACCCAGCATCAGGGCGAGTGCCTCACCTGCCATGTGATGACACACTTTGTGGGCAAGAGGAGGAGAGTAAGCCCTGGTTCCCACATGTGAGCCAAAGCTCTCTTCTTTCATCCTTGCCATAAACTGCTACACCAAAACACAGCCTTGCAAAACCCTGGGCTGTAGAACCTGCAGTGCTACTGGGCTGGCTTTCAAAGAGCCTTCTGCTCTGTGAAGGAGAGGTTTCCCTCGGCAAACCTTCTCCAACCCTGCTCAGCCCTGGCTCTGACCTGGGCATGGTCTGACAGGGCAGGGAATGCTATCGCACCACCAAAGGAAAGGCACCTTTCTCCCAGTGTCTGGTGAGAGGTAGAATGACCCGAGATAGGAAGTGCAAGGAGAAGGGCAGGGAGGTGGTGAGGAGAGGCAACCGCTGGGGCTCGGCCACAGCCACTGCAGCCCCAGGGCAGCCGGTTGTGCAATGCCCCTCACTTCTGCAAGCCAGAGCAACCCGCCCCTGCCTGCTTTCTCATGGGGAGCAGATGCTGTTTCCATATGCTAATGAAAGTATTCACTTCTTCACTGCTCTAAAGCTTTAACCGACTTTTATTATCTGGCTCACCCCCACTGAATGATGATATATCTGCATTTTTAGCTATAAAAAAGAATCTGCATTTAACATGTGTGTTACAGATAAGACCTGAAAACATTCCTGCGGGTCAACAAGAATAGTCAGGCTAGAAACAATTTAAATCTCATTTTTGCAAAAGTTTATACATGCACGTGCACAAATTTTCACAGTTATTAGCAATTGTAATAGATAAAGATACTATTAATTATTCGATTATATATTTGATAGTCACATTTTCTCTGGAGAAAATTGTTATTCACTAAATCATCTGCTGTTTTCTTACACTTTTATGTTGTATAATAAAGTTCTTTTTTGCCTAAATACACACGTGAATTAAACAGTTTTGTTGGCTTGCCCAATTGTAATGATTTTTTCAGTTTGGACAGCCCCAAGTCTAACATATTTATGCAATCTTCAAAACAAAAAACTGTTACTTACCAACTGACGTAAGTCCATGTTTTATAGATTCCTGTATGATGGCTGTGTGAGAACCAGAAGACATTATTAGGTGTAAATATATAGTACCCTTGGGTGCAAGGTGTACAGCATTGAGTACAGAAGAGGTGCAGCCTGTAAACTTTTCTGGCCTTGAGACCCAGGCTATAATAACCTTCAGTGAAAGTCGGCGTGATGAACAACAACAACAAAAAAATTATCCAAGAATTCTGAAAGTAACAAGCATGTCTTTGAGTGGACTCTGTACTTTTTCCAGCATTAGTGACCTGCTGTAAACCATGTATCCCATTTCATGATAGTCTCTAATCAGAAGAATTGGAACTTGTGATAGGTTTGGCACCATCACGTGATTTTGTACAGCTTGATAAGAGGACCCTGTTATAAAGTGACAGCAGAAGAGATAAGAACTCTTGGCAGATAATGGCAGAGAAATGATTAACCTAGAGTGGAGAGGTGCTATGAAGCCCAGAGAGTGGGAGGTTGTAAAGTTGTGGGGACATAAGATCACACTGAGTGGATGAAAAGCCATACCAACGTAAGTGTAATGACTATAAACTCAGACTTGTGACCTGTCTTCTTGATGTCATCACCTCTTTGCACAGTGGACGGCAAGCATGGTTGTTTTGGCTTCTGTAAACACTCTTTGGATGGCAAACTAAGCAAGCATTAATTCCTTAAAGGAGGCTTCTGAATGTGCTTGGTATTCTACACTCTGAGTAACAGCACTAGCAAATCTTTGGTGGTGGTTTGTCAGACAAAACCATTTTATTGCCCCAGTCCTCAGGCTGGAGACTAGCTCCAGGTTGTAGCCATTTAGTTGAAAGTGTACACTACTTTCTCAGTGAAGAGCTTTACAGCATGGTTAAACATTGATATCCCAGGATTATGATACATAGAGAGTATTGCACTCACCTCTAAGGCTGCGAGGTACAGTATCTGTTACTAAAAGGCTGCCAAGGGTTTTGCTGTAAATAGTTATTATAAAGGTGGGCAGCTATGTGGGTGACTGGATGATTTTTCAGCTCAGTGGTGGGTGGGTCAGGTTCTGCTTTCACACCCACCAGAGGAAGTGCAGGGGCGCGCTGGCTCCCGGGGTGACACCGTGCTGTATTTACAGCAGCCTGAGCGATGTGTGGCTTCTCCTTGAACAGCAGTGCCTCCGCCACCGGCAGCCTTTGCAGCTATAGCCCAATAGATTAAGTCTGCATACACTTTGCAAGATCAGACTCAAGCCTGAATAATCAGATGATATTTGATTTTTCAAGTGTCTTGAAAAATAGAGTGAAGTTATTCCACTGTGGGCTAGATCTGAAGCCTCTTGAAGTCAGAGGGAGTTTTTTCTCTTTAAATTTGCTGAGGGCTGTAAAGAAGCTTATGCTCTTTTATATACTTCATCATGATGGTTAGACTTAGTGATAAAGTGGCAGACAGGTTAGTTCATGCTCAAACCGAACTGCTTCTCAGGCTTCTCCCGGCCAGGAGGAGAGCTAGAGAGCCAGTCTGCAAACGGGGTTGATGTGGCAAACATCAACGTGCAGTGATTGGGCTTTACAGCCAGGAATCCTGAATTATCACTTGGTCTGTGCAGTGCCCCCCTCTAGAGCCCCTTGTAGCAAGGATGGCAGGCTGTAGAGGAAAGGTCTGATTTTCCAAATTCTTATTTGGTATGCTTTATTTACCATGTTGAAGGGTATAAATCAGATATTTGTTCACCCAATTAGTAAGTCACAATAGTAAATAATAATTTGGTCTATGGTACACGAAGCAAGTAAAATCTTACAGATTTGTGCACTCAAATTTCCAGAAATCAAGTTTCCTTTCCTCTTTTTTATACTTGTAATTATACTTGTAAAGTGAGGAAACTGTACCAAGTTACCTCACAGCTATGCTATGAATATTATTGGCTTGCAATTTGTATGAAATGCTTTAAGATCAAAACGTGCTATGTGAGCTTATCTTCCTATTTATTACAGGAAAAAAAATTAATTTACAAGTCTGGTTAAACAGATACTATGAATGTTTTTCAGGGTCACTGATACCTTTATCTGTTTAGACTGAGTGAAAGCTGGAAGCCAGCTTTTACAACAGATTTCATACAAACCTAAAGAATTTGATTCTCTTTCTATTCTAATTCCTTTGGTCATCAAATAGATTTTGAATTCTATTCATAAAAAATGAAAACAGTAATTTATGCCATCAGAAAATGCATGTCTTTGGGGACTGGGGAATAAAATAAATGAGAAATACTGCAAATGATACTGCGGTTAGAAACTTTCCACGGTGTCATCAGAGACATTGCTGGAGCAGCATTGGCCCATATACAAGAGTCTCTATAAAGGAATCTGCTGTATGTGTGGGAGAGAGATATTAAATCATAGGAAATATAAAGAAATTTAATGTTTTTGTCTTCAAACGATGTCATTCCTTTTCTTTTTTGCATCAGTATCAAATGTCAGGGTCACTGAAAAATGTTCTTTTTTTTTGTTTCTGATACTTTGTCTCCATGGGTAGAGGAATGTATGCCAGGTGCATAACCAGACAGACTTTCTTTGCATTTCTTTATACCTAGTCCAGTGGGGGAAAAGAAAGTTGTAGGGAAACTCCAGGACAACCTATATCACCCTGTGAATCAGCAGCCTGATATATTTAGCAGTGATATGTTTGGGCCCCAGCTGAAAAAGGACATAAGGTTGTGTATAATGAGACATGTAATTTGTACCACTGAAGCTAAGTACCTGAGTTTACAGATGAATACTTTACTTGGTGAGGAATTTTTAACTGTATCTTTTCACATGGAAGTCCCTGGTAAAGCAGTCACTGACCTTAGTCGGAGCAGCTTTTCCTAACTGCAATTGAAGCATCATAAACTCATTTTGTATCTGTGTTTTTCCACACACCACCACCACCCCTTTCCCCCCCCCCCCCC